TATCCCGTCAGGCCTGGGGCTAAAGATTGTAACCCACCCGAATGGTATGAATGTTGCGCTTTTTAATTATGTATTGTTCTTATGTGTTAAATGTTTGTTTCCCCCTTCCCTTGAGTTGTAAGCCGCCCTGAGTCCCCCCAGGGAAAAGGGCGGCATATAAATAAACTTTTATAACTCATAACTCATAACTCCATGTCTCCAGTGTCTTCTTCCCCACTTGGAGCTGAACCCAGAAGGACATTTCTTTCAACAACACAGAAGAAAGAAGAGTAATTTTTGCCTATTGCTTCTTGCAAAGTTTGGGGGCAATATTTGGCTGTTCTGCTTATTTGCCCCAAGTACTGACTCCTTCAAAATTAGAATAATAGAATTGGAAGGGGCTTGTCCTGCCTTCAGGTGCTTTGGAGAATAGCTTCTCTCCCTCTTCTGTGTGGCAATACAAGAGATATCTGAACGCTGCTATCATGTCACTTTTCATCAGACTAGACATATCCAGTTCCAGCAACAGTTCTTTAAATGTTTTAGCCTCCAGTCCCCTAATCATCTTTGTTGCTCTTCTCTGCACTCTTTCTAGAGTCTCTACATCTTTTTTACATCGTGGCCACCAAAACTGGATGCAGTATTCCAAGTGTGACCTTACTAAGGCATTATAAAGTGATATTAACACTTCATGTGAACTTGATTCAGAGGTGGTATTCAGCAGGTTCTGACCAGTTCTGGAGAACTGGTGGCGGAAATTTTGAATAGTTTAGAGGACCGGTAAATATCACCTCTGACTGGCCCTGCCTCCATCTATTCTCTGCCTCCCGAGTCCCAGCTGATCGGGAAGGAATGGGGATTTTACTGTATCCTTCCCCTGCCATGGCCACCACACCACACCCACCAAGCCATGCCATGCCCACCAAGCCACGTCCACAGAACCTGTAGTAAAAACTTTTGAATCCCACCACTGTCTATTCCTCTATCCCTCTGTTTCTCAGGCCTAGGACTGTGTTGGCTTTTTTGGCAGCTGCGGCACACTGCTAGCTCATATTTGAATGATTGTTCACTAGGACTCCAAGATCCCTCTCACAATTTCAACTATTGCACAGGTACATTTTATTTTTCTTGCCTAAATATAGAAGCTTACTTTTTTCACCATTG